ACTACTACTACTACTACTACTACTACTACTACTACTAAGTACTACTAAGGAGCAGGTAAGTGAGCTACACAAGTGGACGCGAGAAGCCCGAGGCGGCTGCATCGCCAGAGTTGTTGGAGGAAAGCAGGGTTTATACGGAGCACTCGGCAACGATCACGAGAGGGATGCACATCCGCCAATTCATGGTTTAGCAAGAATTCCGGGGGTCTGCCATTCCAGGAGAGACCCCATCCATGACAAAGACCCACAAGAAAAGCCCAGAATCCCTGCAAGCAGATGACTCCAAAAGTAATCAGAAGAACGCCAGATATTTAAATTTATGCGCCCAACTGCTCGTACCCTCTTTGGTGTTTGTCTCGCTCACAGAAATAAGCTGTTTGCTCGGAGTTGTCCCATGCCGGCCTTGAGAAGGTCTAATCCAGCTGATCCAGGTGAATACGCATCGAGTGGCAATACCATTGATCCAGCATGCTATAAGCAAACTGCGGGAATATGAGGGAGATACGCTCAAGCATCTCAATCCGCTCATGGCCCTGAAAATGTTTCCAGAAGGCTGATTCACGTCCCATTTCACGTTCATACAAAAACAGCAGGTCCATGATACTTGCTTGTGGTATCCGCAAAGCGCGCCATCTCCGCATCTGAATCTCCAGGGTAACATCAATAACCAATCTATGCAAAGCATCACCACCATGCAGTACTCTGGATATCTTGTTGCTTCCATGCAGTGGACACAGTTTCATGGCAGCAGCGCTCAGCGCAAATCAGACTACGAAGACGAGAAAGCCTTTAATCCCAGGGGTCCCAGCAGAGCCGAGACGCTTACTCCAAGACGAAGGCGAAGGCGACTCCACACGGCCGACCAGTTCTCGGAACCTCAATTAAAGTCAAATGCTCAAGACTTAGATGAAGTGACCTCGATAATAATACGCCATGCCATCCTGCCTAAACTTCTGAACCTACTGAGTTCCAGGATTCGGGCGACAGTCATAGTTGAACGAGATAAAAAGTTACACTGCAAGTCATCTTAGAATCTGGACATCGGATCCCAGGACTCAAACCCGTGTAGAGGACCAGATCAGTAAAGCATTTACCTTAGCATCAGCCACCTAAGTCCTAACCCATGTTCCAAGGATCGGAGTATATATTGGAGTCAAATCCATGTGACATGTGGCAAAAAGTCACTTGAGGCCGGCGACACGACAAGCAAAGCAAAACTTGTAGTGCCAAACCTCTCGTGCATCAACCAACTCATTCAGCAATGTGCAAACAGCTGAGGGGAACTCTTCCCAGAGGCATCATGAGAGCGGACGAAGTCGAAGTCGAAGACGAAGTCTTGGACCTGGCATCTCGAAATGAACCACAATCAGGCCCTACACCAATTCTGAGCAACTGCTGCTAAGGCAGCTGCCTCCAAGCCATTCGAGCAGCTCTGGCATGGAGCCTGTCCATATCTCACCAATTACCGTGTTCATTCAGCAAACAGTAGAGGCACCTCCTTCGCAGACGAAGTCGAGATTGTGGACCTGACCATCATCTAATTTCCGACCAGGCCGATAAAAAGCTGCGAAACTAGCTCAGGCGCTGTCTCCATGACGAAGATGGCATAAACGACCTCACTGAGCGGGATTTCATTAATCGGAAGCTGGTAGAATCTAGGCTGTTGGCCTTGTCCAAATCAAAGTCGAAGGATGTGACCTGGCCGTGCCAGGCATTGGAATCGACACGAATGCTGCTGCCTTTCACCTACCTCGAAGCTGACCGAAGCCGAAATCCAGGACCTGGCAACCAAGCGGGAAACACACTCGAAATCAAGAGCCACGCATTTGCCTCCCAAACCATCAGGGTCATGACGTCGTCCACCATGATAGACCTGGCATCTGGAAGCACAAAGATGAAGAATGTCATGTGATTGGGGTGGAATCAGGGCCCGAAAGCTCTCCTGATAAATGTGTTGCTGGGGCCCACACTGGAGCTCACCCAGCAGAGTTTAACCAGGGCCCAATCGAGCACACCTGGTTGCTGGGGCCCACACTGGAGCTCACCCAGCAGAGTTTAACCAGGGCCCAATCGAGCACACCTGGTTGCTGGGGCCCACACTGGAGCTCACCCAGCAGAGTGAAACCAGGGCCCAATCGAGCACACCTGGTTGCTGGGGCCCACGGAGCTCACCCAGCAGGGTTACCAGGGCCCAAATGAGCACACCTGGTTGCTAGGGCCCATGACGGAGCTCGCCCAGCAGAGTGAAACCAGGGCCCGAGTGAGCACGCCTGGTTACTGGGGCCCATGACGGAGCTCGCCCAGCAGAGTTTTACCAGGGCCCGAGTGGGCACGCCTGGTTACTGGGGCCCACGATGGAGCTCGCCCAGCAAAGTTTGACCAGGGCCCGATTGGGCACGCCTGGTGGTCACTGGGGCCCACGATGGAGCTCGCCCAGCGATACTGGGGCCCAAAGGGGCTCACCCAGTGATTGGGGCCCGAAAGAACAGAGCTCGCCCAATCAGCACCCCCAAACCCAACCTGTCAAACCCCGAAACCCCCGGGGTTTGCCCCCGGCCTCCTCTCCACGTGGTGTCCGCGGTCTACGATGGGGTTTCGGGCTTTAATAAGGGTTCAGGGTTTAGGGGTTTTGGCTTTCGGGGGACGACTTAATGGGTTCGATATTAGGACTTATCATTATTATCAGGTGGATTTTGAGATTTGTGGGTTTCGCCTTCGTTATTTATGTTTGTGTTTTATAATATGAGTCGAGGTCCTTTTTATTGGGGGATTTTCAGGTTCGTGGGTTTCGCCTGAGTTAATCCCACCACTTAGGAAGTTCATGGTTTAGGGATGGTTAGGGGTTTAGGGTTTCTTGATTTTTGATTGTTGTTGCTGATTAGTGATTAGTTGGGTCATTGGGGGTTCGGCGGGACCCTGAACACCCCCAAGCCACACTCCCAACTTACACCCGAAATCCCTACAGTACACTTAAACCTTGATCCCCTCAACTCCAAATGCATACCAGAAGTTTTGAACCCCAACAACCCTTAAGGAACCTTGACCTATGAATATTGCACCACCCAACCCCTAAGTTCAGGAACCCCCAAATCCATATAGGTTCACGACCACACCCTTCTGAACCCTCAACCCTGGTCCCCTACCCCGGACCCCTAAACCATGACCATAACTGCCAACCCTGAATTTCTGAATCCCAAAATCCCAAGACACTTGAATCCTATGGCCGTGCCGAAACCCCACCAAAACCCTGAAAATAAAAATTGAAGCTCACTCACGCCCCGCCTGAAGACCATGAAGATGTAGCACACGACGAAGTCGAAGGCGATACAAGCCAGACCCGCAACCGCGCTTTAGAAATAATCGCGATTATCTAAATACCGAAATCAATAGCAGTGACAAAAGCTTCAAGTTTCATGATGCCAATGCGAATACGAAGGCGAAGTCGAATACCGCTACTACCACTGCTACTGAAGTTGTGAGATTTCAAAGGATACAAACTCTTATGAGCAATGCCACTCAAAGCTAAGCTAAAAACTGCAATTGTACCAAAATATCAGAATGATCATAATCAGAAGGGTAATATTTGTCATCATGACGATACTCATCATCACCATCATAAACACCATAATGCAAAACAAATAGTCGAATAATACGATAAAATACAGCATTACCTAATATCATCTGGCATATTCCAATAATTATAGCATATCAGACATGTATCACAAAATGTCCTAATATGCCATGTAATATTCACTCACTGTTGTATAAACATGGAATATGAATATGTACACCATATATATTATTACAGAACAGCACTGATGTAATATATAAAATCAATATGCAGACCAATTGTTATTATTACTGTAACATGATATAGTAATAAATGGTGAGGCACAGTAAAATATTATAGGATTTCAGACAGTATGATCTGATATAAGATTGTAATATTATGCTATAATTAAGATAGACAAATGTTAATTTTAGCAAAATGCTATACCATATAAACCATAACATCATCCATATGTTATATATATACATATACACATGTATATATATACACATGTATATATATATATATATATGCCTATTGACTAATAAATAAAGACTACTACCAGTAACAATCCTATCAGTATGACATAATCATAATCATAATAATGATGCTAAGGTTAATAATAAATAATATTATTAATAGAAGTAATACTAATAATATTAAGTTAAGAATACCTTAATAATGCTAGTAATACTGATATTAAACTAATAATACTAATAATACCTTAGAACACTAATATTACCAATAATACTAATAATACCAATAATACTAAGATACTAAAAACAATAATACTACTAAGAATACCAATATTACTGATAATACAACAATAATACCAATAATACTAATACTACTACTAATAATAATAATAATAGTAATAATAATAATAGTAATAATAATAATAGTAATAATAATAATAATAGTAATAATAATAATAGTAATAATAATAAAAATAATAATAGTAATAATAATAATAATAATAATAGTAATAGTAATAATAATAATAATAATATAATAATAATAATAGTAATAATAATAATAATAATAGTAATAATAACAATAATAATAATATAATAATACTAATGATAATAATATTAATATTTATTAATGCTGGGGGGGGTTTGGGGGGGGGTTCGGCGAAGGGCGCCGGGGTTCGACGAAGTTCGTGCGGGGGTCGTCCCTTCCCCCGCTTCGGCTTACCCCTCTCCGTTTTGCCCTGATACAGGACGACCATTATGCAACGAATTCGCCAACACGAGATCGAACTCCTACAGCACGGAAGACGAACCCTCAGGCTTCGCTTCAACACGAAGCCTAGACGAAGATCTCAAAACTATCCTCCTGCATACAGGAGATACCCTGTGAGTCTATGGCCGCCATTACGAGCCTCCTTGCCAAAATCCGACGACTTCGCTCCAAACCCTGAAATCCAGATGCTCGAAATCCGAGCCGCAGGGTGATGCGCGTGTTCTGCGTAGCTCGAAGCAGTACCAGCCGAGGAAGAACTTCGATGGAGAAGCCTGGCCCAAAGTCTCCAAACTCCAAACCCAAAGGGTCCAAAGTACCGATATAGTAGAATGTAGGGAATCTATATTAGGAATTACTATTATGATTTGGGGAAGTATTCCCCATAACAGTACATAGGAATATTTGGGAAAAATCCTGAACTGTAGACTGGGCTCTTGAAAAAGCATTGAATCTAGGCTCTATAGTAAAGTATATGGTTCCTTGCTTGTTATGGTGAACTGTAGACTGGGGTTCTTGTTAAAGGATTTAAATTAAGTTGCCATAACACAGGACATAATATGGTTTCCTTGTGATTGCAGTTTAAACTGCACCCCTTAACAAGAACCCAGAAACGCCAAAAACTCCTGAACAGCAGATACACCACTATGTTTGTTGCAGGGTTGAAATGTTTGTTGCAGGGTTGAAATATCCTGGGTGGCACCAAGCACTGAACTGTAAACCGTCCTTGACGCAAAGCCCGAGTCCACAAACGTGCTGGAACCCGAAAAGTTCAACCCTGTACCCTAAACTGTAGGAAACCTTAAACAAACCTTGCCAGATCGCTTGGTGAAAGGCTTTCGGAGCTTCTGGGTTGTTTAAGGGTGCTGTGTTTTTAAGGCTTTAGGTTTTAGACTTCGTGGTTCAGAAGAGTCCTATGACTGTAAGGGTTCCCACAGGACTCTACGGAAGGATGACTACGCACTCGTGCCTTCGACCGTAGCAGTGTCTTGGAACGGCATGAGACCAACCAACCCTAAAGGCTTAGGGTGCAGGTGTTGGGATATACTATACTATATGGTACTACACTGTACTATACCATACTCTACTCTACCATACCATACTATACTGAAAGATGTTATAATGCATTAAACTCTGATGTAGTGTACTGTACATGTATATACATATATATATATATATATATATACACAAACCAAAGTTTACGATCATGTACTATACTATGCTAGAGTATAATACAATCTACTACAACGACACCTTGGATCTGGAGCCAAGCCCTAAACCCTAACACCCCCTGCTTTCCCCTCCTCTCGGCCTCGTACAGAAAGCTGCGACGAGGCACCATGTACCAAGCCATGGTTCAAGGCGTTCCCAAGGAAGAGCCTCAGCTTTCTTCTAGGTTCCCCAGAACCCCCTGCATAATAAGGGCACCCTTTTCCAGATTTTGGACTTCATAAAAGGAGCCCACAAAGACAAAGGGCAAAAGGGCACTACTGGGGAACCTAGTCTTCGTTAGAGAGGGCTGCTCTTCTATGGCCCTCCCAAGGAAAAGCCTTTAAAAAATTATGTCGGGTTCGGAGTTTAGGGTTTTGCATTGTCGGTTGGGGTCCACGTAATAGTGTTTTTGGGGCCCAATTTCGGTTAAGTAGCTTCGTACTATAGATGTACTTGGACCCTTTGGGTTTGCCATTGCTTCTTCTGTTTACAAAGGACTAAGGGCAACAGGGCTTCAGGGCTTTGGAGCTTTAGGGCTTCAGACTGCGTGAGACTCAGGCATATGAGGGGTTGTAAACAATGTAGGGGCGGACAGTTAAGCGGTGTGCAGCAGGGCTTTGGGCTTGTTAAGCGTGCGGGGCTTAGGGTTAGAATGCGAGATCACGGGTATGCTTACTGGGATTAGGAAAGTTGCATCTGAATGACGGGACTTTCGAAACCTATGCATTTTCTGGTGTCGGGGTCTTATCCTCTCGCGCTTCAGGGTAAATCCTGCCAGGACTTTTGTTGAGACTGAAGAATGCATGTAGGAATTGCTGTTGGGTGCTGACGCTCCGAGTTACATAGTCTCAGCTTTGAAATAGCTTCAGCTTTGACCTACGGGCTTTAAGGTGCTCCAGTTTTGGCACTTGTGGGGATGGAAGCTCGAGTATTCTGTTTGTGGCAGGCAGTGTAAGCCAAGGTGGCACGCACTAATGAGTCCGCAACCGATTTGTGCCTGAAGCTTGAACACGTTTACACCAAACCTTAGGTCATCCGCAGGACCGCCAGGCATTTCTGCTGCATTGTGGCACGATGCGCAGCGACGGCACGACTGTGAATGATCTATCCATGAACCACTGTTAGCAGCCCTTCTGGAAGTGCTACAAGATGAAGTAAAAGGAACACTGATATAGAGTGTGCGTCTAACCCCCAATCAGAGAAAAGCATTCATTCTCTGCTTGCCCCGTGAATCAACCACCTAAACCGCAAACCCAAACCCGACAGGAGCAAGCCAACAGATCCGAACGCGCCGTCCCCGAACGCGACACGACAGAAAGCCTTGCTCCCCTTAAGCCCAACGATCCCCAAACCCTCAACCCTGACGTCCCAAAGCCCGAACCAAATTTCCCAAACCGCGAACTCAACACCTCATGTCAAAACCCGGAACCCTAAGGTCCCAAAGCCCTGAACCTGAACCCAACACCTCAAAACCAAGACCCCCCCAAAACCACAAACAAACAAACACACCACAAAAAAGCCCTAAGACCCTAAAACCCTAAACCCCTAAAACCCTAAACCCCTAAAACCCTAAACCCCTAAAACCCTAAAACCCTAAACCCCTAAAACCCTAAAACCCTAAAGCTAAGACCCCCCTTTAGGCGCAGCGAGCGGCACATGGACCAGTGCTCGACGCAAGGCTCGGCTCCTGGGGGGTTACCCTAATTATAACCTACTTACAACCTTACTTACTAAGTCCCATGAGCCTTCAAGCAGGTGGAGCCTCTATTCAGGTTCCGTACTCAAAGGATCATGGGACTTAGTAACTAGGGTTCCTTAAAGGGCTCCTTTAAAGGGATCTATAGGGGTTCTATTATAAGAGTGGTTTTAGGGTCTACTTAAAGGATCATGGGACTTAGTAATTAGGGTTATTATTAAGGTAACTATACTTCTAACCCCAATTAAGGTACTTATAACCATACTTACTAAGTCCCATGATCCTCCAAGTAGGGCTTCCGTCAGGCGGGGTCCAGATCCCTAAACCCTAGAAGCTTTAGGGCTTAGGGAGAGAGCCGTGCACCCTAATGAATTCCATCAATTAATTTTAATTAGGCCCCGTCGACCAGGCATACCTGGCTCTGTCTGTGCCGTAGCTTTTCCAAGTGTGCTGTTTTGGATAGATGGGCTGAGCGTCAGGAGGCTCAGGGTTTAATTTAAGGCCAGAGACGTCACCTCCTGCACTGTAAACAACCCTTGCCTGGTATAGGACCCTAAGCACCACACCTAGGACCTCTGAAGTATGCACGTTCACGGAACATTCGAACCTCGAATCAGAAGCTCGATACTTCTCAGAGCTAGACTCTAGATACATGAGCCCCAAAACTCCTGTCCTGAAAAGCTTATATGTGTTCGAATGCATCTCAATGCCCCGTTCCATCCTTCAAACAGGCAGTTGCAACAATCTAGAGCCCGAAACGCTAAAAGTCTTGATGCCCAGAACCTCAGACCTACGTAGAAGCCCATGGACCAACCCCCTTAAAGCCCCTCTTATCCCCTTCAAAGCTCCCTTAAAGCCCCCTTCAAAATTTCTGAAAATAGGGGACCCTAATATAGTACCCTTAATAGTAGGATCCCTATTATAAGGACCCCCAAATAAGGTACCCCTAATTTTCTCCACAAAGCCCCCCGGCCATGAGCCGCGTCCTGGACAGTGCGACGCAAGCGCCCCGGATGTCGCCAAGGCGCCGGTTCAAAGCTTCAACCGAGGCGGTGAGGGTGCCTTAAAAAAAGAGTTTAGGGTTTAGGGTTTAGGGGTTTAGGGTTTAGGGTTTAGGGTTTAGGGTTTAGGGTTTAGGGTTTAGGGGTTTAGGGTTTAGGGTTTAGGGTTAGGAAAGTAGGTGCCTCACCAAAGAGTTTAGGAAAGTAGCTGCCTTACTAAAGAAATTAGGAAAGCAAGGTTAAAAGGGCACCAGGGTATATTATACTGTAAAGAGTCTAGGAAAGTCAGGTTAAAAGGGTACAAGGGTAATTTTCTTTTCTCATTTAGGGTTTTGTTGGGCTTTCATGGTTAGGGTTTACGGGCTTTGTGAGGCTTGTGTCCAAGGAACTATAGATTCAAACAGGAGCCCTACAACAATGGTTTATTTAGGCAACCAGGAGCTAGGCAACTACTGCTCAAGCAATGCAGATGTGGGGGCTGCAAGTTTAGGGTTTGGAGTTTGCAGGTTTTGGGGTCAAACGAAATTCTGCAAGCTCGCGGTGTAGGTGACGCTGCCTTTACGAGCTGCAGTTCTCAAGCGGGTGATAAGGATTTAATGTGAACTACTAGGGTTTAGCTGTCTAAAAGGGCAAGTGCCCAGTCTAGGTGTCGATTTCAACAACTATCCCAAATCGATAACATGAAACATTGATGTTCAAAGGCTTGTTGGGGCTGTTTCGGGAAATTCTTCAAGTTCTGTAGTTGTTGCTCCTCTAACTGCTTCATACCCAGTATATATGTAGCAATCCTACACGCCTATCCCAATATTGTTTGAGATCGTTTGTGCCGGAATCGAAAGTCTCCTGATCTATCGCCACGAATGCACAATAAGACAGACGAAACCACAAAACTTCAACAACTGCAACGGCGTCTACAGAACCTAAATCCCGAATCGAAAAGCCTTACAGGAAGACTAAGCGTCACCAACACTGTGAAGTGCTGAGCGCTAACTCCGCGAATTAGGCCAGAACAGCTTGAAACCCAACTCCGCCCCGCTGGTCTCTCCCAGGGTGCGCTGAAGCAAACCCAGCTTCATGCGCAACCGCGCCGGGGGGAAAGGCAGCCTCAAGCATCAACAAAATGTTGCCCTGAGTTGCCGAAACTTGCTGTAGTGAAGCTCGATATGACAAGCTTCTGTCAAGAAGACCCCACGAAGAAGTCGGCTGTGTTCGCTTTCAAGAAGATTAGTAATTTGAATTCGGGCGTTGTGGCTTCTAGGGAGCTTCTTGACCGGGGCGTTTAGTGTACAAGCCTTTCCTTTCGATACTGGGGTTGCGCACTGATGTGACTCTTGTTGAACTTTGAGTATCATGGCTATTGCTTACTTGATGCTTTACAACTGCAGCAAGGCTTGCAGAGCGTCTTACCAGCTTTAAACCCTAAACCCTGAACCCTAAACATTAAAACCCTAACCCTCAATGACTAAACGCTGAAAACTGAAACCCTAATGGGTAGTTGTCAAAATTATGGTCCGTTTTGGGGGCACCCTAAATATTAGGTGCCGTATTTTGCTAGGAACCCAAAAAGGGACCATCATTTTGACAACCACCCTAATATGAAGCAGCCTTGCGAGAGGAAGCAGCTGCCGTTCGGCGTCGCGCAGCTGTCCCGGGTCCTCGAATGCTTCAGAGTTTAGAGGCTTAGAGTTTAGGGGCTTCGACGGTTTAGGGTTTCGGGGTTTAAGGTAGAAGCCAGAAAGTTGGAATATGATTATCCTAACCCTTCTATGGTAAATTATAGGGTATCCTACCATGAAACCATATTCCAACTTTCTGGAGTTCCCTGTAGGGAGTTTAGGAGGTTAGGGCCTTGGTGCTTCAGGGCTCGGCCTTAAACCCGAAGCACCTGCGTAGTGCGAAATCGGGTGTCGCCATTCTGGCTCGTGCAGGTCTCCCCATCGAGGTGTTAGGATCCGTTGGGTAAGGATTGGGAGCGAAAGGGCTTTGGGCTTATCTAGGGTGAGCAGGACGAAGGCTGCAGGGGATCTTCTTGATAAGAGGTTGCTAAACTCTCAGCCCACGCACGTTTTAGGGTTTAGGGTTCTGCAGGTGCTGTTGTTGTTCCATAGATGCTGACATGGTGCTTCGTCATCGCCACAGGCTCATCCAACGCACGTTCGGGTGCAAAGAGCTTTCGGATATGGGCCATAGTAAAGGGGGCTTGGAAGTATTCTATTAATTAATAACAGTATAATGGGAACTTGCCAAGGAATAATATTACTAGTTGTTCAGGCCTTCTGAACCCCGATCTTGCTTCAAGAGAGTTGGTATGGTAGGATCCAAAAGTAAGTGTCCTCACTTAGTGGGCTTGGGGGTATTGACTTAGGATAGAGTCTGCGTGCCTACCCTAATCATGAGCCGGCTTGTAACCTGCTACAGGGGTCATAATTAATACTTAGACTATGTTTTTTTATGAGGGGGAGTACTTTTATAATGATGGTATACATAATGGGCCCCAAAACCCTTTTCTAATTATTCATTCAGGCGCCTACATTATTTACTAAACCCCCTGATCTTCTCATCCTTTCGCCACCAAGAGGCGCCCTGGAAGGCCAAGAGCTGCTTTTCTTCATCCTCGCGTGCGGCAGACAGATCGGGGAAACTTTGCAGTAGGGAGTTATCCAAACCCTGCTTGGAGGCCCAGGGGACTTAGCAAGTGGGTTATAAATAGGGTTATAAGTATCTGATATGGAGTTACCCAATTAATTATAACCCTACTTATGACCTTACGTACTAAGTCCCCTGGGCCTTTAAGTGGCCTGATGGGCCCACTGACCTGCTACTACAAGAAAAGTAAATATCAACAGCGTGTTGTTGGGGGGGTCCTTGTTGCAAGGATGCACTTTAAGATCTCCAGCTGGGGTACTTGTCCAGGGCACTGTCTTCGTGACGCCAATGCAACATCCTGGACCCCCCAACTCCAAAATCCCTAAGCCTAAACGCGATCGATATCCCAACCCCCCAAAATCCGCACCAAAACTCCTGAGCTCAAAACTCTGCATAAGGTCAGCCCTGAACCTTTCAACCCTTCCTAAATGAGAGGAGCCCGCAAGCCTCCCACGCAAGGAGTCCCCAAAACCTCGCGGGAATGGCATCGGTCGCAATCACCCTAATACAACCTTTAAACCCTAAACCCCAAACCCTAAACCCTAAACTTTAAACCCTAAACCCTAAACCTTAAATCCGAAACCCTAAACTCGAAAATCCCAAACCCCTCTACTCCGCTCCGCCTGTGAAGGCATAGCCCCCACCAAGACCTCCAAGGTCTCCAAGCTCAGCGCTTCGAACGCGAAGTCGCGCAAGGCCCGGAGCACCTTTCGGCGACTGTAGGGCTTTAGGGTTCGTTTAGGGGGTTCCTCTAAAGGGCTCCTTTTGAAGGGTTCCTCTAGAGGGAACCTTGATAAAAAGGGCTCCTTTAAATGGCCGGACGAATATCCAAGGACAAGCCGCCATGAACCCCAAACCCATGCAACTCCGGCCCCTGCCAGACCCTGCATCCCAGTCCCTGGAGTCGAAACCCCGACAAGATGAACGGACTGAAGGAGATTAAGGTAGACTTTAGGGGTTTAGGGTTTAGGGTTTAGGGTTTAGGGACGAAAAAACCCTACTCTGATGAGGATTGCAATAGCGATCCTGATTGCTAAAGCCCTTAAAGGGAGGGGTTTCATCTTTCAGGCGTTTAATACATCAGGGTTCAGGCCTAGGTAAGACCCTGCATGTACAAGAATACTTAGAGGATCATGGGACTTAGTAAGTAGGTTATAATTGGGGTTATAAGTCCCCTAAGTGGGGTTATCCTAATTATAACCTACTTATAACCTTACTTACAAAGTCCCCTGAGCCTTCAAGTAAGTCCTAAACCCTTAATCCTTAAAGGGAGCCCTGTTATAGAGCCCCCATAGTACCCTTAAAGGGGACCCCTAAGCCCTACTTACAAAGTCCCCTGAGCCTTCAAGTAGGGTCCCCGCCTCGGCAGTAAGCGGCCGGCGTCGGAATGCGATGAGCATGTTCCTGGGTTGCTGGGGCTTGCCCAAAGGCCCCAAAGTAGTTCCTTTTTGAAATTCATAATTAGAATGCTATATGGTAATCCCAAAAAGGAACTACAGTACCATGGAGCCCCTGGGTGGAGGGTGGCAAAAATGTGGTTTAGGTTTCGGTTTTTTACATCCTACATTATGGCTTAAGGTGTTAAAAGCTCTTGTTGGCGTTACATGTTACAAAGAACACGAAGAACAGCCTTCCTGACTTTCTGGCCCTATATGTCATGAAAAGCCTTGCTCGAGAGAATACGTTTCTGAGGTACACTGTACGTACAATACTGCAACGACAGTGGCTGGAAAAAGGGACGAGTGGGCTCCGTGGAGCAAACCCAGAAACCTCTTCGAAGAGACCCAGAGATCCCTAAATTCCACCAAGAAATCCGAGAAGCCCACCCTAAGCCAACAACCCCTAAAAGACACTAACCACCTTTAAACAAATCTTCTGCAACGCCCTACAAAACGCTAAACACACGTTGTCTTCAGGCGGCTGGGCTCGCCGGTGCGAGAAGAGCTCCACCTCGCGGGTTACAAGGTTTGAGAAGGTTTAATGTTAACACAAGGCTCCTTCTAGATGGTTACCATAAGCGCTGCTACCAGTACAATGGAGGTCTAAGGTTTATAGTTTGTACCCTAAACCCTAAACCCCTAAACCCTAATTACTGGTTGACGGTTTTTTCCTTGAGTTAAGACCTGGCGTCTCGGGGTGCCCGACTCTATCGACTCCGCAGGCTCGTTTCATAGCCAACTACGCACACGACTTCCCAAAAGCTTCGGGTTTTTTTTACGGTTTAGGGTTTAGGTTTTACGGTTTAGGGTTTACGGTTCAGGGTTTAGGTTTTACAATTTAGGGTTTAGGGCTTACGGTTGAGCGTTTAGGTTTTATGGTGATGGGTTTAGGGTTTACGGTTCAGGGTTTAGGTTTTATGGTGATGGGTTTAGGGTTTACGGTTCAGGGTTCAGGGGTGGTTGTCAGGCAGACTAAGCAGCTGATCGGGGAAGAAGTAGCCTAATTCCTGTCATCCGAGTTGCAGCTTTACCCTATACTGAACTTAGCACCCACACAAAGATTATGATTTTAGCTGTTTCTTAGGGACTATCATAACCAAAAACTAAAAAGAATCTAAGTACCCCTAAGTTACCATTGGCACTGGACGCCAGGTATGCCGCACCCAAGCCCCAAAAAACTCTAAATCCTAAACAACCCTACCCCTAAACCCTTGCAACCCTGAACCCCTAAACCCAAAAACCCTAAAAGCAGACCCTAGCTCCGACGATTGCCTCCTGAGGTGTTGATGATGGCTTTTCTGTCGCGCTGTTGGTCTGGTGTCCTGGGAAGGAAGGCTTAGCTTAGGGTTGAGGGTCTTAGGGTTTAAAGGTTTAGGGATTTAAGGCTTAAAGGTTTGCTTGTTTAATGTGCAACAACATGAGTAAAGCAAATGGCGTTATACTAGAAAAGGTAATCGGGTTTTGTAGGGTCGCTTTTTGGAAGTTTCCTCCAAGACTTCTGCGATCCCAAAAGAGCTCTACAAGAATTGTCCTTAGGTTTCGAGATTGAATGCACCCCGGTCTGAAAACATCGGCTTAAGAGTTGAGCTATTATGTTAGCAAGCGCTGAGGAATACTGTAGCAAGGGTTTGGGTTAAACCTGTGTCGATCCCCAAATATGCTGCTTGTAGGGTTAGGGTTACATTTTATGGTTTCACAATCTACTGTATTGCAGGGTTTGGGGTCCGTAGGTCCGACAAGCGGGAAAAGGGCTTGGCAGCTAAACCCTGGGTTTGCGGTGTGCAGTACGGTTTACAAAAATTGGCTTGCTTCGGGATTTTCCGGCCTACGGGGTTTGAAGGTATGGGGTTGCAGGTCTATGTTGGGGGCTGTAGGGTTCCCGGGCGTGAAGTGCCAAATCCTAAGCTCCTGATTTAGCGAGACACGACCGCGACACTTGGTTTGGCCCAGCCACCTTATCCGCTGCCCTATCTCCCATTAGGGCTACTGCAAGCTTGAGGTGGCGATGCAAATCTGAACATGGAGACTCGTTGGGCCAGGTATGAAGCTTCTATCACTTCGATATAGGATTCTTGAACTTATCGGCTCATAATAGGAACACTTACACGAACCCTCGTTCATTGCCCTGCAAACCCTCTTTAATTTAACCCCGGAGTGCAGACTCTGCCCTGTTGCTGCCGCGGGACCGAAGCAGTTCTCCAGTCGGCGGGCATCCACCTGAACGTTAGTACATGTAAACGAGACCTTGCGTTGCTTCTTACGAATCCGTCATGAAACCTGCCTGGATGCTATATTTGTCAATGCACGTGTTGAGGCAGTACTGTCATGCGCTGCAACATGCCATCAATGACAGCCCAGCCACGAGGTTCACGGATCCCGTCTCGGCGAGGCCATGAAACACAGTGTCCTCTTGGATCCAGGGTTTATGGCTTACTTGAAGGCTCATGGGACTTAGTAAGTAAGGTTATAAGTAGGTTATAGTTAGGATAACCCCACTTAGGGGACTTATAACCCCAATTATAACCTACTTACTAAGTCCCCTGATCCTCTAAGTAAGGTTTGGGGTCACATGTAGCGGTCTTGGCGTTCGATAAATGCAAGGAGTCAGAGCCGCTGAGCTTTTGGGTCGGGAGAAGAACTGAACTTCGCATGTCCTCGCACAGACTTTACAGGGAACTCCAGAAAGTTGGAATATGGTTTCAGGATGTTTCAGGGTAGGATACCCTATCATTTACCATAGAAGGTTTAGGATAATCATATTCCAACTTTCTGGCTTTTACTTTATACTGTCTATAAAGCAAAGTCCAGAATGCTGAATCATCGAACGGAGAGGTTCTAGGCTCTCGGGTCAGGCGCTGTTTTGGATTGATCATGATTCTTCATCATTATATTATACATCGAAACCGTGAACGCCACACATTCAGACGCCGAATGTCTCAGGTGTGTATGCTTTTGTGCCCGTGATTCCGTGGGCGAATGCAAACCTGGACCCCCAATCCTAAGAAACAAGCTCTGAACCCTAACTTTTTAACTCCCGTAATCTCAAAACGAGCCGCGGCCTGAAAAATGTAAACTGAATCGCCAGGATACCAAAACCTAATAATTACATACCTCCCAAAAGCACAGGCCCGCAAGCCCGCTTTGTTAGACCCCAGCAAGTACCTGACCGTTGGATCCTTGGGATCCTCAAGGTAAACCCTTAAAGTATTAAACCGAATACTCTCAAGACGCAACATTCCACCCTCCTTGAGCTTCTCAGCGGCCAAGGCCCGCCAGTCCAGCCGCCTGGCAGCTGAGCAGGCTACACTTCCCCTATACCCTCTACACTGCTTCTCTTCAAGCAGCTGCATGCCCAGGACCGCACAGTAAAGAAACACCAGCGAACCCCAACAACGAACCAGGCAGGATAATATTGAATACATGTATTTGCACATACAGTCACGGCTTTGAAGTCTTTGAAGTGGGGCCTGTAAGGCTCTCGAGTTTAAGTCCTGGCTAGGAGCTTCCTTACAAGGGCCCTGCTTCCTTGTATCGGTGCAGGCGTGAAAACAAGCCCCGGGTCTGATGCCACAGCTGTTAAATATTACTGCAGAAACCTCGCATCCGGGCTTCATCAAACGCCCAAACTCTAAATTCTAACTACCCACGTCCTCCAGGGACCAGCAAATCAAAAGGATTCCGTGTACAAATGCCTGGCATAAGGCTTCGCCACTTTCCGTGTGCTCCGCGGCGCAGCACCCGGCGGTGGCGGTGGCGGCAATGGCTTCGACTTGCCCTTGCCCTTGCCTTTGTTCTTGCCTGAGACCGAGTGCAATCGCTTCCGGGCCTACAGGAGTGTTCCCTGACTCGTATGAGGCTTCTTCTGAGTTTCAGGCATCTTCGACACTGGGAACCTGAGAAGGCAAAACCGAAATAACGAACAACACTGAATCCCCAACCCCATGCAACCATGTTGAAACCCACGCATCTGAACTTTCCAGACTTTCCAGAAGCTCCGATTATACGGAACATAGGGATCTTAGCATTAAGCTTCGTGGCTGATTAGCCAGGGCTGTACATCAGGAAGAACACCAGAGGCTCAGACACCTAAACCCAACACCCCAAGCCCTGAACCCTTCAGTCGACTTTAACCTGTAACAGGAACCATTGCTGTTCTCATGTTCCACTGCTGCTTCTCATAAGTATCTTCATTATGTAAAGAACTCTCAAGGCCCGAAACTACGGTTGTTGTTATTCTACCACTGCTTCTTCTTCTTCTTCTTATCATACGCGTCTTCATTATATACATCCACCTATTAGTCTGTTTCTTCTTAGTAGTATCTTCGTTATATATATATATATATAGAACTCGGAAGGCCAAGCTGCCAGTATCAGAGGGCGGTGGCTCGACGTTTTCCGCCACGTCCACTTGAGGTTTCAACGGCGTCGCAGGCTCCGCGCCCTTGCTCTCCCGCGAGCCTCAGCGTAGTAGCTGTTCAGGTTAATATATATTCGCGCACAAGGCCTGCAAGTTTGTTCTCGAAGGGACTGCGGCTGGCTTGGACACATTGAGAGTCCAGGACTTGCTGAGGCGTGCGATTTGATTCGGTTTGTGTCTTCAGGGCTTCTATAATACTAAGCGCAATAAAGAGATAGTAATACAAATCATAATAGCAGGGAGTTTTGATGCAGAAATCCTAACCACCCGAAGCTTGGGTCCCCCGAAGCCGACGTCTGAACCCCGAAACCATCAAAAGACTCTTGTGGAGAGAGAAACTTCTTAGAAACTTCTTGGACCCTTTGGGTTGCATCCCAAGTGTCAGGGCTGATCCTCAGCCACTGTCGTCTCCGGCGGCGCAGGTGTCGTGGCGGTTGGAAGCTTTACGGCTTTGCAGAAGTCCACCTGCTGAGAAGAGCTCTTGGGTCGTTCTGTTTCTTGGGAGAACCTCATGTAGGTCATTCGTAAAGCCCTATAAATCCGAGACATTAAGAACCCAAGACCCTGGGTTCAAACCCAAGGTCAGTTCTTTTCTCAAACTACTGCTTCTGGATGTAGGGTTTAGCTTCAAGCTGGTCAAGGGAGTCGTGGGGCTAAGGGCTTTCGGGGCTTAGAATGTCGGGGCTAGCTACGACAAGGGGTGTTTAGGGTTTAGGGGTTTAGGGTTTAGGGGTTTAGGGTTCAGCGCTAGCTCCACCCGCAGACAGACAGAAAAGCCCAGATCTTCTTGCAGTTTAAGGTTTCAGCGGCCTAAGAAGAGGTTCGTATGTCTGGAACTGCCCTGGGACTCTCATCGAAACCCTACGTGAAACCTCAACATCGTTAACTAAACCTGGCTCCCCAGAGACTCCAAAGCTTCTGAGTTGAGGTCCAATCATTGTATGGCAACGGGGATCCTTAACTGAGTGAAATCTTCGTGTATTCTGAAACCCTAAACCCTGAAACGCGCAGCACGCCGTAGAATCCTAAAAACCCAAGGAGGCCTAGAGTCTTTCGTTAGGTTTCGACCCACTGGTGCAGCCAACTTCGACCCTCAGCAGAGCTCGAAGGCACAGCGGCTGTGGAAGTGTGTCACAAGTATGTGATCCGGAGACTTTGGGGTTAAGGGTGTGCATCGGGTCCTTGTCGATAACTAAGGTATGCAAGGATTTGGCAAATTATACATAATATATACAGACAAATTCTGGTTTCAAGGTGGGACTAGAATTAGAAGGCGATACCATTGCTTACTAACTCTTCAGACCTCTAAGACCTCTAGATTAGGAGCTAGACTTGAGGAGCTTGTCCCCAAAACACCCGAACAAAACAACTTTACACGCACCTCAAGCGAACGGCGAGTCGACTTTGAGCGCGCTGTACGGCCGCTGGGGCGTGCCAGGGTTCCTTGCATGTCGGGGTTCAGTTTATTCAGCTGCTTTAGCACGGTTTAGGGTTTAGGGTTTAGTTCTATTGAGAAGGTTGTTTTGTGAGTTTAGAACCATCATCTTACTACAAGTACTCAAGCCAGCGACGTTCCAACACGAACAGAAGCCCTAGTCGACTAGCAACCACACTCGTTTTGAAGCTAGGTTGGGAAAAATACCGAACAAATCCCTGGTTTGTCGGAGATCCTTGTACGCAAGGGGTAACCCAAACATCCAGCCCATAAACGAAATCACAAAACATCAATCGCCCGAAGAATGGCAAAGCTAAAACGCCCACAAGACTAAAATGCTTGCCTGAAGCAAGCTTGAGGGTTTATAAGTACAAGCTTGAGAATGCATAGATTATCGCATAATAGTCGCATAATCATGTAATGTGAGGATGCAGGCATCACCAAGCGAATCGCCTGTCGGCTTTTTTGCGGCTTGTCAGCCTCTAAAGTAGGGTTCAGGTTTACGGTGGTCCACCCGACCAAACCAAGGATCCACGCTTCTGGCGTTCCCTCACCACTCTGCGATGGGCGCGCACGGTGTCGGGCTCCGTCCAGTCTCGCACCTCCGTGACTAAGCCGTTAAACCTAAAACGTGGTGCAACGCTTCGGGTTTGGGTGTCTCGTGCCTCGGGCTTAGAGGTTCTCTTAGAGGATAAGAGCTGCTCGCTTCAATTCGGTTGGAAAGCCGAAACCCTGGCCTAAACCGAGACGCGATCATTCCTCTGCATCCCAGGCATAACTCTCCATCTTAGCATACCAGCCATTACGGAACTGCTGCTATCAGTCCGGATGCTTTGCGGCACGTGAGCTTTGAGATTAGGATTTAGTGCCTGGTGTTCTGATCTTGTTCCTATCGGCTGAGCGGGCCCTTTTTACCACATTTATTTAACATCCATACTGGTCCTTCTGCTATCCCTCATGAACTTCATGCGCTCACCTGGAACTTTCTACAGAAGGCTCTGTGCATAGGACACTTTGCCCTTTCGCCCTTCGAGCATACGATAAAGGCCTTAGTACTTAGAATAGGGTTTGGGGACCCATGATACTATAGATATAATAAGGACCCCCCCCCAAAACCCAAAAAAAAAAAAATAGTCTGGGTAATTATTTCGGCCGCTATAGTACTGCCAACACGGTTGTCTGTGTAACGTTCGAGCATCCGTGATTTTCACATCGGAAGCACTACGAACATGGACATCATCAAAAGTTTGAGAATGAAGCCTCTGAGGCTGTCATGTCAAAATTAGTTCACTGGAAGCCACTAGATTCTCATTAGACGGAGTAAATAACAGTATGATGTTGCTTTCCTTGGCAGGGCGCCGAATCCGCCAGTAGGACCCAATTCATTCTCATGATCGTCTTCATCAACATCAGAGGCAAGGATATCGCGATCGTCTTCATTCACTGGTGTGATTAAGTGGTCTGCCTTTGGGGGGACGACCTTCAATTGGCCGACCCTCAACAGTAACCCTTACAGGAAACCCTAAAGCCAAAGGTGCTAGGAAGGAGGTCTTCTCCGTGGACCCTAAGATCCATACCCGTCTAGAACCCTAAACGGAAGCCTAAAACCCTAAAAGCCCTATCACGAAAGCGCCAGGGAGGAGGTCAGCTCCCTCAACCCTGAACCGCGAAGTCCCAACTACCCTAAACCCTACTGAAGCCCTACCTATAGTCTCCATTGTAGTTCCTGTTTTTGGTTTACTATATTAAGGATCCTAAAGGGTGACCCCAAAAAGGAACTACAATGGAGACTGTAGGTAAAACCTAAAACCCTCATAGAAACCGGCGAACCCGGAAGCCGAACTCGAAAACCCTGAGGCCCTATGGGACCCTCACCCTGAAAACACGGAACCCTCTACAGCTTGTACACAACTCTGTAGAACCCTTAAAGGGAACCCCCCAAAAAAGGGTACCCTTAGGGGTTCTATACCAGGGTCCCCTTTTTAAAAGGGGAGGAAACAAAAAATCTCCGAAGCCAAGGCGCCAACGAGGAGGTCAACTCAGCACTGGACAGGCTCTCATCCGCCGCTGCCCGGGAGCTCGGCAAGGCTGTGGACGCCTCCAGACCCTAAACCCTAAACCCTAAGCCCTAAACCTAAACCCTAGGTGTAATGCTTTCTTGTGAAATCACCTCCTTGCATCCGCATGTTCGGAATCCCCTGCTGGGGGGAAGATGACCTTTGGTCACTGCCAGGCTGCCAGGAACTTTACCCCTCGCCACTCAGAACCCTCGGGTGTAGAGTTTAGGGCTTATGATTCCTCAACCCTAAACCCTGCAAGGGGGTGATTTCTATGAGGGCCGTGATGAGGGTTCCTTAGGGAGTGATCTATAAGGGATGGTATAAGGGTTCCTTTTTTGGCGCCCATGAGGGGCCTAAGGGTTCCTCCATTGTGAGAACTCCATTTCAGGGGAGCGTTTACTGGGCTTTTAAGTAACCAGGGAGTAAAAAGGTATAAACTTGTATTTCATAATGGTTTCATTCAGAAACAAAGTAGTAAAGTACGGTACTCCGAAGCCCAGTTTTAGGTTTGTTGGCAAGATGCTTAGAGTTTTTTGGTGCTCTGTAAGGGCTCAGTAAGTTGCTGTATACAAGGGGTTTACACTTACCCAAAGGGTCCAAAGTACCGATATAGTAGAATGTAGGGCTTCTATATCAGGAATTACTATTATGATTTGGGGAAGTATTCCCCATAACAGTACATAGGACCCTTTGGGACTTAGGGCTTCAGGGCTTCTGGCTTGACTGTCGAGTTCCCGGGCACCTGTGTGTTGGGCTCAGTGCAGGTGCAAGCCTCAAACTCAGCGTTTACTGGAGTATGTGGGGTCTTCTTGAAATTAGGAACAGTTTTTTGGTGCTCTTGCATACCTCTTGAACCCGGAACCCTAAACTCTAAACACCAACCCTCCTAGGACCCTCAAGCTTAAAATCCCTAAAACCCTCAACCCTCAATCCTACTGAGACTGTCATGCGGCATAAACTGAACGATATTATTTACTATAGATCCCGGTTAATTAGGGTAACTTAAATTAAACCCCTTTAACAAGAACCCAGCAAAGGCCAAGCAGGCCTCACTAAGATCCGTCCGGCTCCCACGTGGCTCGGGTGTCTCGCGCGCGCGGCCGCAGCAGGGGCAAACGCCCGCCTGGGAATGGGGCGTAATATAGGGGCGTACATAATTAGAGTAGGGTTTTGGGGGGCCATTATGCTGTAGTTATAAAAAGGACCCCTCCCCTCAAAAACAAATAGTATTGGTTGTTATTAAGGCTCCTATTAGGGTTTGCACCTGGGGTCGTTGAGGGGCTGACTTGGCTGAACGGCTCATCATGCTAGGTCATTGCATTTTCGGGATCCCGGCCAACGGATTCCTTACAGGGATTTGCTGCCGCAAGGGCGTAGGTCTTACAAGGCTTGAGGGTGAAGCCCTTCGGTAAAGGCGTGCCTGAGCCGATTGCCACCGCCGGTAGCCTTGCCTGGGGCTCTTTCTCGTTGGGCTGAAGTCAAAGCTTAGGGTTCAAGGGTGCAGGGCCGTAGGTTGCCAGGCTTGGTGGTTTCAGTGGCTTTAGGGACAGCTTGAAACTTATAGTGCCGGGACGTGGTGATTAATATGAAATTTACGGTTCACGGAGTTCAATTTTCGTTTTGTAGAGTTGTTGACTGGGTGTAGGGCTTGCTTCGCTGAATGTTTTTGGGGTGGCGGTCTGGCAGGTGCAGTCTAGACCCTGCACCTCCCGCGACCTAACGATGCTGCGTAGCCCATCGTGTATATGAACTACGAGTTACGAAGTACAAAGCCTCTAGTGCGATTAGTGTAAACGGTGGCAAAGGAGTTGCTTGGCCGGGGGTTTGGGAAGGATAATTAAAGGGTATTGGAGTGAGGTGTATTGTTTATTTACAGTATACCGACAGCAAGGATCCCCAAAGAACAACAATGCTAGGGTCAACGCCATGCGGCTCATGAGAAGCCCATGGTGGTCCACATGGCATGCGCTTGAACTCCGCTTAAGCAAGGAGTCGTAAGATGCTACCAGTACTCAGGTCCGAAAGCTGCCGCTCGTGTGCTTTACGATGCTAGTTCGTGATTTCTTTGCCAACGACGGTGATGGTATATGCTTGCCTACGATTCCGCGTTGCTATCGATCAGATTCATCATGTGGAAACCGGAAATCTGGGAGCTTTCATGATCAGGTACCCTTTTCGGATAATTATACAGGTTCAAGTAAGAAGTGAATTACTGGGTTGTAGTTTTGGGGCTCTGAAACGTATTAATGAACAGGTACCTTTTCAGGAGCCATAAGGGGAATTAAAAAGTTTCCCAAACGAAGGAAAAGGCTACTTCTGTACGCTAGATGTCCGGAAGCATCTGCTTGGACAGCAGGACTTGGAAAGTAAGCCTTGCAGGGGCTTGTCAAGATAAATGCCAAACAGACATGAAACCGCAACACAAACTTCAGGCTACACCCTAAACTTGAACCTTAAATCCGCGAAATCTGCCCCCGGCATCTTTCAAAGCCCAGTCGCTGGGATGGCTTGCTGGTATTACTTCCTCTGCTGCCGGTACTTCCAGCTCGCGAGCGCCCTTGGTTCGTCAGGCAAAACACTACTTCGTAAGGGCTTACTTGGAGGTTCATGGGTAGTTATGACTCGGGTTCTAAGTCCCCTAATACAACAGCTGCCCTACTTCTAGCCCCACTTCCATAAAGCTCCAAGCAGAGTTCAAGGACTAAGATTTCGGCGTCGAGGTTGGGGTTGGAGAGTCCGATGCTTGTGGCTGGGGGAGCGGTACTCAAACCCTCCCTCGAGCTGGGAGTTTAATGTAGAGGCCTTAATAATTGGAATAGGGTTTTGGGGCCATATATTATGATTATAATAAGGAGCCCCCAAAATAGTATTGGTAACTATGAAGGCCCCTATAGTACAATTCCTAGAAGCTCTTTGCTTGAGACCCGACGTGTGTGGGGGACTCTTGCCGCGCCCGGGGCTTTCGGCTTCAGAGAGGAGTTCTCAGTTGATTCAGGGATCGGTCCTTCTTGTAGCTCTGCATCATCTCGTTTGGGAGTGCTGTCGGGGCATGGTATAGGCCATGGGCCTACAGCTAAACAAAAGCAAATCCTTAGCAACCAAGATCTGAACATGATCACTTCACAATGGCTCTTGTTACGGAACTTTGTAGAAATTGCCAGAGGAGCGATCTGCAGTAACTAAATACATGTTTTCCTTATTCTGGCAACTTAAGCTTAACACTCCTTGACAAAAAGCCAGTTAAGCAGGTGGCCATGAGCTGGCGCCACCTTGGCATACTCGCTGAAGTACGTCCGTGCACAAGAGGGCCTTCCGAAGCACAATGCAGGCTTTAGGGTGTATAGTGTTTGTGTTCAGAAGAGTTGCAAGGCCTCCGAGCCAATGCTTTCGGGCTCTATATGGTAGTATTGCCATAAGAACCCTTAGGGGGGTAGAGGGGATGGGGCTGGCGGGCCTTAATACCCATAACAAGGACTTCATAAGGCCTCTTTAAGGAAGTGTGCCCTCGCCCCACCCCCTAAGGGTCCCTATCATATTGGCGCACGACCTTTGTCGAAGCATCCGGATTCGAGGGAAAGGGGTGGATTTTATTGTAGTCCCTATATAATCCCTAATAGTAGTCTCCCTGATCCATTCCCTCCATTCCCCACTAAGAACCAGACAGATGGAGCTTTGGGTTTACAAACACAGTGCGTAAACTTTGTTGGCACGAGCTCCATACAACCAGAAGCTCTAAGCTGATACACAAACTCACTCTCTCACTCGACTCTTAGACCTACTTGGAGGTTCATGGGTAGTTATACGTGGGGTTATACGTCCCCAAATATGGGTTATAAGACTAGTTACCCTACTTAGCATGAATTTAAACACTACACCCCAACACTTCCGTCCAGGAGGAATCCCTGTTAGCAAACTAAACCGCAGCCCCACAATCCTAAAACCCCAAACCGTAAAATCCACAAAAACCTCTGAAACCACAAAGCCCTAAACCCCAAACTCGAAAAACACCCGAACAGAGCACGCCTCCGCGAGTTCAGGAGTGAGGAGTCCAACACCTTCTGGGCTAATGCATAGTCTACGGGGTGTCTATAGGGTGTAGGGTATATTATGTGTCTAGAAATCAGGGTTCAAAGGATTTTGTAGGGCTTGATCAGGCATCTTATATAACTTATATACGGCTAGGCATGGCTTGGGTAGGTTTCTTTGTTCATAGGGATTCTGTTTTTGATTATCTTGTCATTGTCTCGCTATACCATCATATAAGATAGGTTTGGAGAGTACAGGCAGGGTTCAATGGACTGCAGTCTACGGCTTACAGCGTTGGGGATCAACGGGATTCGCATCTCAGGTCAAAAAAAAGCTTAATTTCGGGGATGCCGCAAGGAATGCTGGAAAGGCAAACTATTCGGTGCCATTACCAGGCGGGCTACCCGGCTACCGTACAAACTTTCTGCAGTTTGGCCACACTTCCATTCCAAGGTGGTCTGCCGTCCATCGCTCTACGGCGGCGCAGGAAATGAGAGCTGTGGGTCCACCCCTCGAACTTAAAACCCCGCTGCTCTCCTAAAATGAACCACTTCAAGTCTGCCGCCACCCTCGACCCTAAACTGCCCTACACCCTACTGAGACCCGACAGCCACGTGGAATCCAGTCCTAAACTCCAAATAAACAAGGAAGAACATCTTGGTGGTCTTGCGGCAAAAGCTCTTCAGGAAAGCCATCCTTATGAGAACCCTGATACAATGCGCACCCCCGCGTACAAGGCCACATCAGCATCTGGGACGCCGCACCCCCCTGGGCCGACACACTGAGAAAGCGCGAGGCACGGCTGATTGGTGCGAGACCCAAGTGATTAGAATAGGGTGCGAACAAACATTTACTGAAATACTTCGGTATGCAGAAAACTCTAAACCCAACAAGGGACCATCTCGTAAGGTGCTTAATCAAAGAAACCGTTCAGATTTTTGTAGGGCGGAAGTAATTCGAGGTGGGATCAGACAGTGCAAAACATGAGTATGCTCCTAAGTTGTGGGCTCACGACGGGTCCAGGGATTCGTGCTTAAAAGTCTCATATATAATCTCTGGTTTTGGCATTCCGGCTGGCTCTCATGGATAGTTTGTTGTTTCTAGGATTCCGGCTGGCGATGTTTGAGAGTCCGCTAGGGCCAAATTGGTCTTGTGAAGGATCTGTATCGCCAGGAATGTGGTCAGGCGCTTACTCTTACTCCTGAAGTAACTAAGTAACTAAGTCTTTATGCCACGAAGGCAACAAACAGTGTGCAAAACGCTTGAAGGTTTTGAAGCGCTGAGGCCAGAAACCATCCTTGAGGAGTCACAATACTTGACCATCAGCCTAAACACAGCTGTGTTCACAAGTGTTGGGGGGTCGGAGATGTATAGCTGTATAGAAGGAGAAACACATGTTATCCCAGAGTCGTTCAACATGACCCCAGCACAAACGCTTAGAGCATCCCTTTGCCTAAGGTGGTGTTCGATGGAGAGTTCAGGGTTCATGCCGCGACATTATGCAGGTCCTTGGCATCTGGAGGGTCATCTTGCTCCTCCTCGGGTTCCTGTGCACTTCGGCATGGGTTGTAGTTTCGGGTTTGAGTTTAGGGCCTGGGGTTTACAGTAGAAGCCCAAAAGTTGGAAACCCAATAGCCTCAATCCTTAAGAGTAACGCAAAAGGAATCCCAGCACTATTTGGCCTTAATCCGGTTTCCTACTTTATGGAGTTTACTGTAGACCCCTAAACCTCTAGACCCCTAAACCCCTAACCCCCTAGACCCCTAACCCCCCTAAACTCCTAAACCCTTTATAGAACCCTTATAGATCCCTTTAAAGGTAGAGGTTCAGGATCTCAGGGTCAAAGGTGTCAAGGTTTTGGAGGGAAGGACCCTGATCAACAACCTCCCCTCCTCTAACAAGGCTTAGAACCGGATCCTAATGTAAAGGACCTTTCAGTCGAACTGAACATATATGGGTGGTTGTCAAAATTAGGATCCCTTTTTGGGTACCCTAAATATTAGGTGCCGTACTATAATAGGGGCCCAAAAAGGGACCCTAGTTTTGACAACCACCCATATATGACAAGCTGTAAATGAATCAAAGCCCAAAGGCTGCAAACCCCCAACTCAGAGGCCTCTCTCTACTTACAGGATCATGGGACTTAGTAAGTAGGTTTCTTGAAGGGCTTCTTAAAGGGATCTATCGGCTTCCTTAGAGGGATCTATAGGGTTTAGGGTCTACTTAGAGGATCATGGGACTTAGTAAGTAGGCGATAATTGGGGTTATAAGTTCCCTAAGTGGGGTTATCCTTTACGGGCTTTACAGGTTGGAAGAAGGGCGTACTATCCAAAAAACAGGCTTACATAGAGTTTAGAATAGCCGGAAGCAGCTACAAGTTTAGGGCAAACTAGGCGAAGGACACGCATTGGGCTGCACTTCCAACTTTACCTACCAAAATTAAACCCTAAACCCTAACCCCCAACAACAAACACAAAAGAGGTCGCAGCAAGGTTTAAACTCCCCACTCGAAGCCCTGCACTGCACAACTATTTGCCTGGTCGAGACACCCCCTGACCACAAATCAATAAAAACCGGTGTTCTTGTTAAGCAACTTCATTGAAGTTACCATAAAGATACCATATTATCTACTATAGAGCCCCTTAATGGTATATTCTTCATTAAAATTCCTTAAGAAGAACCCAGAACATGGTGCCTGGCCTCATCCGCCTCCGCTGCCGATGGCAGTGAGTCCAGCCACGAGGTCATGCTTCGTAGAATTGGACTTGTTTCGGTGGTTCTGAAAGTTGGGGTCCATGACTTTGGGATACTGTACTTGTGGCTTGTCAGGGTTTTGAGTTCATGTTCCTTCAGGTGGCCTCAGCTTGAGGTTCCGCCTGAGGCTTCGGTCGGAGCTTCTGCGTTTGAGGGTTTAGAGTTTAAAGTTTAGGGCAGTTTAGGGTTTAGGGTTTAGGGAGTTTAGGTTCAGGGCTTAGGGTTCTGGCCAGATGCAATGAGGTTCAGGGCCGTCTAGGCTCAGGTTTCGGCTGTAGGCTCCTGACGTGTGGGTTCATGGACTGTTGCATGCTGCAAGCAGCAACTTGCTGATGACTTTGAGCCAGCTGGCTGCTGTTTGCCGCTTGCAGATCTCCGGCCCTTCAGCACCAGCTGCGAGATGCGATGAGGTGCCCCTGTTTGTTGCAAGGACTCCACAAAGCAATGCATCTCCGATATCTAACTCAAGAAGAATGCCTCCCCGGTTCAAGCACCTGGACAGGAGCATCCATAATTCTTCCGAAGACATACCTGAATTGAAAGTTCGAAGAAAAGAAGGGCGTACCGTCATCTACACAAAGCCCAGACCCTCAATCCTAAACCCATCGAGATCGACGGTTCACGCATTTCCGAACAGCAGCTGCAAAACGTCTGCGCGAGTTCTCACAGCCTCCCCGGCACTTCTCACGACGAAGGCAGCTCCCCAAAGCCGGCTCAGAGGACTCCAAAGCTCTTGCCATGGCCGTCACAGTCCATCGCCATCTCCATATCCACAGGCCCATATGGCTTTTCAGGCTTCGGGTGCACCATGATCTGCCCCTAAAATCGCGATGAGGTGCGGGAAGAGATGAAGGAGGCGGAGGAGTTGCGGAGCATCAGATAATGCTCAAGGCACCAGCCAGCAGGGCCTTCTTGGAACACGCGGGCTCCCGAAGACGTCAGCAGCACAAGCCTGAGGGGGCAGACATGCATAAAAACAGTGACATGCAAAGGTGTACAGTAGGGCGTAGGGCTTAGGGTCAAGGGGTGTCCGTGTATGTCTGTATTTCTGTAAATAAGAAATTATGCATGCGTGCGCAGATCCAAATATACAGTCTCTCCCTCTCTCTCTCTCTCTCTCTCTCTCTGTGTCTCGGTGTGCGTTGTGTCGCTACCATTTGCAAGCCCTAAGGGTCCATGTACCCCAATAGCAAAAATGACCCTAAAGTATCCTAAAGTAATTCCTGTATCGGTACTTTGGGCCGAAGTACATACTACTAGTATTTGGGCACATGGCCCTAAACCAAAAACCCTAAACCCTTCGGGAAGAGCTCCCTCCCTGCCAGTCCTCATGCAGCCTTCGGCTGGCGGTTCCGGGAGCGTCGATCCGGCGCGCAGAGATCCTAGGAGCCCGAGTGAAAGCAGATTTGAGCAGAGCGCTTCAGGGTCCTTTGATTCGGGCTTGGGGTCTTTCAAAGTTTTTGCTGGCTTAGGAATGGTTTTGTCTAAAAACATGGGCTTTAAGGGGTCTTAGAGTCTACGGGTTCCCATCCGAGGCAAGGGCAGTCCAGCCGTGCTGAGTCATCTTCACGAGGCTGATGACCACGTGGTTGCGCTTGACCTAAGGGTTTAGGCTTTAGGGCCTTGGGGGTTTAGTGCTTTTGTAGGGTTTAGGGCTTTAGGCTGTAGGGTATCGGGGTTTAGGGTTTATAGGCTTTAGAGCTTTGGCTAGTTAGTAACTACCTCCCTAGCCGTTTTGAAGGGTTCCTTTAAGTGCTCCTTACAGGGATCAATAAGGGTTTAGGGTTTAGTGTGCTTTTTCGGGTACCTATTTATCTATATAACAGACTGCTAAACTTGACCGAACTGGTATTGGTCTTATGTAAGGTTTCGGGTTCAGGGTTTAAGGCGCAGTGGCTCAGCTAGGGCTTGGGGCTTAGAGGGTTCAGGGTTCCCACCATCACCGAAGATATGCGAAATATTCTTGGTATTTTCCGTAGCACAAGAGAAACTAGCGACCTTTTAGAGCAACAATGTCCCTTAAAGCAGAGGGTGCCCTTGCTGGGAATCTGGGCTTCTGGGCACAACTTGAACATTGTCTGAGGAACATGTGGCTCTCTGGGCAAGTACTTATCCGGAGACGAGAATATCTATATTATATTCCTGGATAAGGGCTCCATTGTGAGGATCCTACTATAGTACTCATACTCTCAAATCTAGCTGTGATGAAGCACCTTTTTCTAGGATCCGACAATGAAGAACCGGGTCAACCAACAACAACAAACGAAAACTGAGGATCCTGCTCTTCCTTACTTAAAGTTGTTAAAGGAGTTCGGAGTGGCTTGGCAAGAGCTTGTGATCCGTAGCACCTGACACGGCTCGATTGTGTGCGAAGGACTCCTGCAGGGACTTCTACTAGAAGCACGACGGTACCCAGAGGATCCGCAAGACCTTAATTAAGAAATGTCACCTATGAACTATAGGACCTAAGCTCCAAGCTGCGGAGGTATCCTTGAAGTCTGCAAGGTATGCCCCAAAAAACCGTAAGTCCGCAAGACCCGGGAACCCTGACACTGATCCCACACTCCATGTGCCAATACCGTACCTGGAGTTTAGGGTTTGGGGTTTAGGGTTTAGGGTCAGGGTTTAGGGTTTGGGGTTTAGGGTTAGGGTTTAGGGTTTGGGGTTTAGGGTTTAGGTTTAGGGTTAGGGTTTAGGGTTTAGGGGTTGAAGTCAGCGTCAGTTGCAGCTCCACGAGGGGATTAACTTCGGCCTCCCGGGGTCCTATACGTGGAGTTAGGAGTATATAGGGGGACCCTTGGGGATATACACTCTCTCAGAAAGGTCCCTCTTATGAGAGCCAGAAGTAAGCTTAAGAAGGGGCCCTTTCAGGGGTCTCCCTAAACAGTCCTTAGATATACGTAGACCGACCTATTTGTCCAGTATCCCAGGGGAACTTAAAAGGTTCACCTCTAAGGTTACATAGGGGTTGCCCAACGGGTCCTACGTACCTATATGGTAGACGGTCGGGCTTCTAGATGAGGAATTGCCCTATAGGTACGTAGGACCCTTGTGGTTATCGTATCCCAAAAAAGTTACTTAAAGGCCCAGGGGACTTAGTAAGTAGCTTATAAGTAGGGTTATAATTGGGGTAACTCCATTTAAGGTACTTATAACCCTACTTATAACCTACTTACTAGGTCCCCTGGGCCTCCAAGTAGAGGTTACCTACTCTCCTGCTAAGTCTACGAGGTCTCCGGGTCAAGGCACCGACTGGGAGTCTTCGAAATGGGAGTTTCCGAAAAGAGGGGACCGTAGGGTTCCTAGCCCTTAAAGGGATCTGTAAGGCTTCCATAAAGGGTTTAGGGTTTAGGGAGTTTCCGAAAATAGGGGACCCCAATATAGTGCCCTAAATAGTAGGATCCTTATTATAAGGACCCCAAAATACGGCACCCCTAATTTTGCGAAACTCTTTCGAATATTCTTCAATGCTTTGGTTGCCAACAGAAGGAACTAGGCTGGAGTGGGGTCCTCTCATAGGGTTTACCCTGGGCGTCCGCGCCGGTTTTAGAAACCGTCGAGCGCACAAAACCGTCGATAGCATATCAACCGTACGGGGCCGGGGTCCGAAAGCAGTGCCCTTGGACAACTGCCATCTCTAAGCAATCTACACGATGTCATCGCCTAATTGGTTGTCAAAGCGTCCAATGTCAACTCCACGAAATTATATTGTGCTGTACCTGCATGGCAAACCTTTCGTATGTTGTCTAAACAAAACAAAACAGGGAAAGGCCACAATGCAGTTAGTTGTCACACAACATGTCTGAGCAAAACAACCGCCAGCAATACTGCTCCAGTGGAAGCAAACAATGCATGGTGACCTGATGTAGTGTGGCCCTAAGAAGGCGGATTTAGAACCGTAGAGGGTACAAAACTCAAAGTCAGCAAATATGTGTAGGCAGGGTATATGGAGCTAGATTGGCAAGGAAGACGGTGGCGCATGTACATCATACTGTACGACCCAGATTTTCGTTATACGGCATACATATACATATATAGATATACACACAGTATACATATGACATGCAAGAATACGTGTGTGCAGAAAAAGATATTTAATTTTTCGCTTCTACATATCCAACCTACAATGAGAGTGTGTAAGTCTAGTTTGTCTGTTCTTTAGTGACTTTAGTGTGTGTGCGTGTGACTGAAAGAGGGAGGGAGGGAGGGAGAGAGAGAGAGAGGGAGACAGAGAGCGAGCGGGCTGCTGTATGTGCTCTGTAAGACAGTGTTCGCAGCATAAAGCGTCACAGAACAAACATGACACAGGCTGTGTTAGCATGAAATGCGTGTTTATTCATCCACCATAATTATACTAGACACCGTTTGGAGTTTGGAGCCTGCAGAGAGACCTTTGCTCCAACATATGCAACACATTAGCAAGCACTTCTGCATGCGCAACTGAAACTCGTGTGCACAACGATGGCGCTACTCCCGTCTACTATGCCATATTCATGCTCCCAATTACAGCAGCGATCAACATACGAAAGAACACAACATCATGCAACCAGATTAACGGCCATTACAATAGGACAACAACAGTGGCCAGTAAGAGGAATCATGATGTTTGTTGTGCAAACTGTGACCATCGTAGTCATTTTGATGGTATCATAAGCAACACCCACCGACACAGCACACACAGACACACGCGCGGAATCATCGGCACCACATCAAGATATTTACAACCACGTAGGATGGCGAATACTGCTGGTCCTGGTGATGAACAAGGTGATGGTGCCCGTAATGACGACGATAGTGATGATGGTGAGGTTGATGATGGTGATGATGGTATGCGCGAACACGGTTTTGACTTTGACATTTTGAAGGTTGCGTTACCGCTTGAAAAGAAACATCGGATTTGCAAGAATTACACAAAAACACGATGACGACTACCACGGCCAACAGCAACTTATGTGGTATCAAGTCGTGGTCTGAACAGTACTAGCATCAGTACAACTCCAACTAACAACTTTCTTAACCTGAGCAGTTGTAACAGGAGGGGTGCCCGCGTAACATTATCATGAGCATCATGACGACACCAGTGACAACACTTCCCTTTGCATGATTAATTTACTTTGCACTATATGGCTGTTGATAAATTTCTGATCCAAAAACAACTGGCCAAACGAACTGCTGAGACATGAAGGCACGGGCCATGGCATCATAGGAACAATAACGATGCGAGATGTACACGGGACTTGACTCATTGACGTAAGGCTGGGAATACGCATGCAAATGCATGTCCAACCCCCACTTTCGGCGCGTCTAAGGAGGGGTTGGGGTCAGGCGATGCACAAGAACACAAGCCATGATTCACGACACAGAAATGCGTGATTCACACCAGTTTGGTTGCATCGGTCAAAAGTTGAGCATAGCTACGACAGCGTGTCTTTTGCACAGAAGCGCCGTGAAACACCGTGAATCACGCGTGAAATGACCGTGAAAACCGGTTTGGATCCGTGAAAGCCGGTTTAGATTCGTGAGCGCCTGTTTCGGGATTTTGATTTTGCGCCCGAGATGATTTTTTGAGCCTCCTGGAGTCAAAGGCCCAAAAACAGCGTGAATCACGGTGCTGCTTTCAAGAAAACCACAGCACGCCATAGGCAAAATATCGACAACGAGACTTTCTTCGCATCAAAAAGTGATATACCGAGTCAACGGTTGACGGGGCCTGATCTGCTCAATTGCAGAGGAATTACAGTGTAGGAATTAGCTCTAGTGCCACAAGGTTTACCAACAGTTGTGAGAAGCAGGAAATTTGATTTGTACGAAAGTCAGAAACGCAACAGAGCCCAACCATGATTAGAATATCACCACAAATCAGTGCAACAAAGAGATACACCATAGTTAAGCATGGAGTGTGTAAGAAGTAACTGCAAACCCCAGCTGCAACAACAAAACAATGATATCGTTCATGACAGCAAAACATAGCAACAACGACACTGTCGGCGGTATTCGGGGCGTGGTATGTGTGCCCACAACAACAGAAGCAATCACGAAACAAGCCAACCCACGCAGCAACGACAATCTGTGAATGTCTAGGGAAGTGTGTATCGCTACGTATATATATATATATATATATACATATACATATATAGATAGTTTTATATGTCTACACTTTACACATATACACCAGGTGTATGTGCATATCTACTGTACTGTAAACACGAGTGCTGGAAAACATCATGCTACTTGGAGCAGCAACAAAAGCAACAAAAATGATGATAGCAAAAGCGACAACACCGCCCGCACAGACGGCAATGTCGCCAGCAGGCAAGGTGCAAATACGAACAGTGCTACATGTGAAGATGCAGAGTATGTTTCTGCATGATGACGATAACAACAGGGATGACTTCTACGGCTGGTGGTGGCAACAGGAATGAAAAGATGAACACGTGGCCAAGATGATGATGAAGATGAAGATGGTAAGGATGACAAAGCTACAGATATTGATCACAACAGCTATCATATGTTGACAAGAAACGTGGTTTAATGACATATCGATACCAGAACTGTTGCAGTGCTAACGTATGAAATCAGAGAGGGGGTACCAAGAAGCATCATCGACAATATCAACATCAGCAGCCGCAGCAGCATCAGCAGCTGCACCATCATCAACAGAAGACCCTGTCACCAGCACACCATTATCAGAGTGGCTCTATATCCATGCATGATCATGCGAACGACACTGCCATTACTAAAGCAATCTTGGTAGCAGTCGTAGTTCGAATGTATCACTTCCTCAATCAGCGTTTATGCAAGCTCAAACTATATACCTTTCTCCACTACGCTCCTTTGTTACAATAACGAATTATATCACGAAGTAGTGTAAGTTCGTGCGGTGTTTCAGTTTGTGCCCGGTTGCAAACACTTTGCGAAACAGCCTGGAAGTTGTGCTCGCACTTGTTGCCAGAAATCCAATGAACTTGAAGTCTCAATCACTTGGAATGAGCTCCCGACACGATAAGAATGCTGAGGGGTGTGGAGTGCAAATTTCTGTCTCAAGGAGACGGTCCAAGTGACAAGACGCAGAAGAAGACTGTAATCACACATCTCAAAAAGTATGTGCAGATCATCATGAGTATGAAAAGAAAAGAAGACCAAACGATATTGAACCGGCACGCACACCTTTCTCCGTGCACATGTGGCGCAACGGATGCTAACACCATATTAGTTTCTCGTGCACATGAAACCCAACACCCAACAAAGGCGATCGTGCACAGACCGCCCTAACCTATCTTATGTGTGCATACGCTTTCGATGGCAAGCTTTTTGATGCTATCTTGTACAGAAACCGACCCTACCGTGAATCACGAACGCCTGTTCCGGGAACGTGCTTTGTCTGAGAGCCTGTTACTAGAAGCGCCTTTGGGGATCCAGGGGTTTAGGCTTTAAGGGGTTTATGGTTTTGGGGTTTAAGTCCTTCATCATGGCTCCGAATTAAAACGGACCGAATGCACATAAATCAGGTAACTAGGCGCATAAATCAGGTGTCATAGTGCCCGACGGGGTGGGGTTGGCCCCAATGATTCAGCAAGGGTCTCGGGTTCCTGCGGCGCTACAATCGCTACAGGTCACAAAGGCTCCAGCGCGAAACGTCGAGCGATCAGCGTCGATGTCCCTCTGGAGGCAGGTCTTTCGAAGCCGGTACCTCTATGGTGTTCCAACGAAGCGGTTGTTCTTTGCTCCGTTTTGAGAGGGGTCGGCGGTCACCTCTCAGGCATCGATCGACCCTCAAACCCCCCAAAACCCAGAATAGCCCAGGACCCTAAACACTGCCGCCCGGAAACCCTGAACCCTGTACCATTCATCCTAAACTCAGATCAGAACCCCAAACAACCTAGACCCCCCAACTACCCTCTGGTATATCCTTAAATACCCACTATTAAGGACCATAAGGGCTCCATTAAAGGGCACTTTAAGGGGGGTCCTGGAAACTTTCGACCTGAAGCCTGAAATCTGAACCTTATAAGCCCTGGATCGATGTGGGAGTTTCTGAAAATAGGGGTACCTCATTTTGGGGTCCTTATAATAAGGATCCTACTATTTAGGGTTCTATAGTAGGTCCCCGTATTTTCGGAAACTCCCATGTCTTTCGAAGCCGATAGATCGTGTTTGGGGGTAGGAGGGGGGGGGCCGGGTAATTTAGCGGCCTTAATAATTAGAATAGGGTCTTGGGGCCCATTATACTATAACTAGATAAAGAACCCCATAAGTAACTATTAAGGCCCCTACCTTGCCTTATTATAGTACCTTTACAGATCCGTTATAGTTACCCTTATAGATGCCTTTAAATGGCTTCAAGGTTTACGGACATGGGTTTTTGGATCGGGGGTCTGAGGTTTGGGACTTTCCGGTCTGGTTCTTATGTGGGCATTTGGAGGGTTTAGGGTTGAGGGTTTTCTGCATTTGGGGATGCGCAGTTTGAGTTTTGGTGGGTTTTGGGATATGCAGTTCAGGGTTTGGGCACAGCTGTTTGAACAGCTACTCCCAGGTGGGCTTCAAGTTAAGGTTGAGGAAAGTTGGTGAGTCCCATGGTTCCCGCGAGCCGAGTGCAGTCTTTTCAGAGCCAGTCTGTTCAAGACAATCGAACAGAGCAAGGTCTGTGAAACAATCGAAGTGAGCAAGGTCTGTGTCCAAGGTGGAAGGCCTTAAGGCACTTGCCGGGCTGCAACCCAAACCCTAAAGTAGAGAACTACAAGTAGGCTAAGCACATATGGTTCTGGGAGTTTGCAGGATTTGGGTGCCCACATTTGCACCGTGGCAACTTGGAAGATTCGGCATGGGCTTGCACCTATGCATGAGGCTACTTTAGGTGCTTGCTCAGAACTGGGGTCGCGGAGGTACACGTCGTGGATACAAACCCTCTAAGCCCTATTCCCATCTTCGAAACCTGAAAGCCAACACGTCTGTCCAATGTCTCGACGGGACAGACGAAGGAAGCCCAGAGCCCAAATATACAGACTTTAATAATGAGACTCGGGGTTTCCAGGGTCTCAGTGCCAACACAGGGAAACTAATTAATCAAAGTGTATTGCCAGGGGTTCCCAACTGCACAGGCCTCCATTAAGCAACCACAGAAACACAGGATTCAGTAGGGATCAGATACATCTGGAAGGCCCTCCACCTTGCCCCTTGCTTCCGGACATTGTTAACATGTCAGGCTATTTCTCGATATACACCGAAACCGAAATCTAAATGTCCTAAATGTCTGAGTACCTATAAGTACCCTGACCCTTAACCGTAAATACCACGAGCTGCATCCACACAAGACTGAACCGCAGACCCTAAATCGGCAGACCCCAAGGGTCCAAAAACCCAATAATTAGGTACTCGGTTTTAGGATAGTAATTATGTAGGTTAGGATTTTGGAGAGTTTATGATTATTAGGTACTTGGACCCTTGGGGAGAACTCATCACGGAGCAGACGCAACCTTCGCTCCCTCAGACTCAGAAGGCTCCTTCACGGCGTAAATGGGTCTTGGGTTCTACAAGGGTACTATATGGTCTACTACAAGGAGTTGGGGTTTCGTCTTAGACTATATTTTGGATTTTGCAACCTGGGTCTTGTTTTTGAAGTCCTTTGCTGCGAAAAGCCCAAAGGAGCTAAAAAGCCACAATGAAAGCCAGCCCAAGAAACTCACGCACTCCAACTGCGTAGACACAACTCTGATGGGAGGCGAAAAGGGGGGTTTTAAGAATCTTGGGGTAGGGATTCCTTAGTATGAACCCTATCATGGGAACCCTAATCCCTCCTAAACACCCATAGGCTAAAACCCCTTTTGGCCTCCTATGACTCTTGCCCAGGTTTGGGATCTTAAGGTTTAATAAGAGGATTTACACACAGCTTCGGGTTGAGGAGCAGGGATTTCAGCTGGTTTCTGACAGGGTTTGTTAAAACAAGAACTTGTTCAGACCACCTCGTTCTTGAAGGGCCTTTGGACATTGCCTGGCTAGCTGGACATGCATTGACTTTTGTTTTTGCTAGACCCAAGAGTACCCTAGGAATAAAAAGGGCGCCCTTTTTTGTTTAAAGGAGCTTATAAGGGAACCTGAACCCAAAAAAAGGGAAAAAGGGCCTACTCTAGGTCCTAGTTTGCCTGTGGCCTCGACCTGTTTGCTGTTTTTTTTCGCGGCACGCTTGGCTGCAAACTTACTTAGAGGATCATGGGACTTAGTAAGTAGGTTATAAATGGTGTTATAAGTCCCCTAACTGGGGGCTACCCGAATTATAACCTACTTATAACCTTACTTACTAAGTCCCATGATGCTCCAAGTAGCGGCCTTTGATTTGCATGGCTTGCCGGGGCTGTGCCAGATCCTCCGTGTTTGCTGCTTCTGCTGTGTCTCTGTTCGAAGAAACACTGTTTGATCTTTCTGGTGCCATGTTAATACAGGGGCCTTCATAATCACCTAAACAGTTTTGTAGGGGGTTCCTTATAGTTATCGTATAATGGGCCCCAAAACCCTACTCTAACTATTCAGGCCCCTTTTGTACTTTCGAGAAATCCAGCTTCCATGCTCAACTCATGGAGTGGTTGTGGTCTCAGGGTTTGGAGATTCCCAAAGGGCCCGAAGTACCTGTATAGTAGAATGCAGGGTTTCTATATTATATGAATTACTATCCCCCCCATAACAATACCTACAGTCAACCCCGTAAAGTTGGAAACCGGATTAAGGCCAACTAGTGCTGGGATTCCCTATACATTGCTCTTAAGGGTTGAGGCTATTGAGTTTCCAACTCTTGGGCTCCTACTGTAGGACCCTCTGGGATTGGCAACCCTGAGTCCCCAAACGGCAATCACGTAGTCTTCTCGCAGGGTACCCCTGGCTACGAAACCCTCAAACCCCGTGGATTCGACGACACAAACCCGAAACCCTACACTCCAGACTCAAACCCTACCTAAACCCTAAACCCTGAACCCTAAACTCCATACCCTAAATCCCCCGAGCCGAAACCCTGCAGTGTCCTTTGGTTTTTCTTCCGCAGCAGCTGCACCCTCCGCCTTTTCAACCGACAGGGCAAGGGGCCTTAAGCCACGAAATCAGTACTTGGAGGTTCATGGGACATTATACGACGGGGGTTGAAGCCCCGTAATTCCTCATTCCCACTTTACTCATGGGCCTTCCAGAAGAATAATGTTTAGGTAGAGGCCAGAACGCCAAACCCTCCCATGTCTCCCATGTCGGGCGATGATGGGTGCTGCCGCGCAAAAGGATTCAGCTTGTGGACAAACCTCAGAACTACGATGGATGCGGGACCGGGTGTAGGGTGAGGCTTTTCGACCACGACATGCTAGACCGACTGATTGCGGGACGGATTTATATGGGTTCGGGATGTTCAGAGTGTTTGAAGACGATATGTTAACAGTGAAACAACATACAAGCCGTACCGAAACCGCGAAAACGTTAAAGGCCACGTGTATTGACCAGAAACAGACTCTGGTCTACTGCAAGATGCCAACACTCCCGAAGAAAGCCATACTCTTGAAGTTATACCTGGACCCTAAGGAACCTTCCTTTTTTCGGGTTCCCTAATATGATTTCTTTACACAAGTCCTTAAAAAGGTAGGTTACTTGGGGTTAAGGTAGAGGATGGTATAAGTATAAGGTGCATCAAACCCTAAACCCTAAACCCTAAACCCTAAACCCTAAACCCTAAACACTTAAGAGGCTTTGGAGTCTCTTGGCTCAAGATCCTGAAAATCTCGAGCTTCCCCAATGCCCACAAAATATCGAAAGCCCGAAAAACGGTTTAGGGTTTAGGGTTTAGGGTTTAGGGTTTAGGGTTTAGGGTATCTTTACAATTGTGAACGTGCGTGAGAAAAACACCTGTTTCAAGGGGGTTCTACGTTTGGGATCCCAGTCCCTGAAACCGTCATCCTTCGCTTCTGAAGCCTAAACCCACAACCTAAACCCTAAACCCTAAGCCCCAAACCCCTAAACCCTACTATGCACCCTACCCTGGAAGTGGTCTGGGAAGCACAATCCCTCAACCTTAGGCACTGAAACGGCCTTCGACATCTGTTGAACCCCCGACACCTGGTCCTCCTCCGGAGTCGCGGCCTCCCGCGCCTCCTCCTCCTCCAAGGAATGTATAGGGGTTGGGATTTGGGGTATAGAGTGTATAGGGTCTAGGATTTGGGGTATGGGGCTCATAGGGTTTAGGATTCAGGGCTCACAAGGTTTAGGAGTTGGGGTAGCGCTGGGGCCCCAAAAGACAAAATCGCTCCCGTTGATGGCAAAATCCAGGTTGCCCAGTTGACAGATTCCCGCCCACGTTGGTGACAAAATCCAAGGCCCTAGTTGATGTCATGTTGTCAGCTCTTGTCAGAACCGGTCTGATATTGTCAGCTCGCGAAAGTTCCGTTTGTCAAATGCTGACCAAATCTGGGATCCGTATCCCGGTAGATGATCATGTCGCACGGATGTGTTGAATGTGGAGCCATGCTGTCTGCGTCGAACCCGTTACACAGCAGCGATTGTTGTGCATATAGATCTGAAGGCTGCCAGGAACCTCCTGCTTGCGGGCCCACAGCGCCCACACTGTGGCCAAAAAACGCGAGTTCGCGGTTTGGGCCCTCCTCCTTCTGAGTTGCCTCGACTGGATTTGCCTGTGTGTCCATCGAGCTTCATGGGGTTCATGGGTACCCACCCTCCTGTCCAAGGAATTTTCGTTCAGCAATAGAAGGCTGTCTGAGTCAGAGAGTACACCACAGGAAAGGAAAATGCATAGGTGTTTTTAATCCTTTGGGTTTACAGAAGAAGGATTCTGAGTTGAAAGCTGCAGTATTTTGCGGAAGATGCAAGATGGGCTTCAGGCCTGCGTTGTCAGCCCGGAACGGTTGATAATATAAATCCTGCATTACCCAGAATAAGGCATATACCATAATTCCCATAGTTTAGGGTCCTTATAAGGTAATGCAGGATTTATATCATTAACCGAAGAACCACCCCCACAGGCCCAAGGCACTTTACACGCCAAGACTTCCCACACACCTTCCGCGAGGACCGAACCAACCCTGAAGGTATGGGTGTCTGCGCTTCGGATTTCAGGTTTAAGGTGACTGTGAAGGTATTGTTAACCCTAAACCCCCAACCCCCAAACCATTAAGGGTTGATCAGCGGCTTTAGGGTTTAATTAGGGCTTTGCAGCAACGCTCAGGTGAGTTAGTAGGTAGCTAGAAGTAAAATCAGGATGAGGAGAATCCAATGAGGGTGCCTATATGCCTATATCGCGACATCTAACCCACCTACTAAATCCCGTAAAGCATCGGGGCATTCAGAAAATCATGGACCTTAGCCATACCCTGAACAATAAGACTCCGAGTTCCAGATCCTCGTTTTTAAAAAGTAGCTGCCAGGTTCAAATTTTTAAAAAGAAACACCCTCATGTCTGTCCTGAAAGTTTCCCCCCGAATCTCTAAACCTTAGGCTAAATCCTAAGCCCCAGGGTGACTGTAAGACTACCCCCACCTTCTGATCCTCCTCAAGGCTCTCCACCTTCTCCTTCTGGTCCTTCTCAAAGTTCTCTTCCTTCTCATCCAGAGAAGATGTCAGGGCCTCGTCCTCTTTGCAACAAGCAGCCCTTACAAAATCCGTACCTTCCCAAAGGGTCCAAAGTACCGATATATTAGAAGATATAGTAGAATGTAGGGTTTCTATATTTGGAACTACTATTATGATTTGGGGAAGTATTCCCAATAACAGTACATAGGACCCTTTAGAGCTTGGAACCCCAACCCTAGTACAAGAACTCTTGTAGAGCCCAAGAAGCTAGCGTACAGGTACATCGAGCCTTGGGCTATCTGTGTCATCATCATCGGTTTAGGGTTTAGGGTTTAGGGTTATCATCCCTGACCTAAAGAGGCAGACTGCAACTGCAGGGGGTAAGGCTCCGAGTTAAATTTGAAGGGGCTTACTTAGAGGATCATGGGACTTAGTAAGTATGTTATAATTGGGGTTATAAGTCCCCCTAAGTGGGGTTATCCTAATTATAACCTACTTATAACCTTACTTACTAAGTCCCACGAGCCTTCAAGTACTGCTGCATCCCTATTCGTCTGGTGTTTTTGAGTCTCGGAGCTCAGTAGATTCCCGCATACCCATGTTCAGGACTCAAATTGGGATTTGAGGGAAGGTCTCATGGTTGTAAGTCCTTGCAGACACCCTCATAAAGGCATGTTCGTCTTACGGTTGAGATCTGCTGCGTCGCCGACAGTTTGGAGCCTGCGAACTGAGAAGCAGATTGGCCATTGCCGCCGAGCCGGGGCTGAGAGGTGTGGATCCATTCACTCTGTTCAGCCCCCTGCGCTTCGCTCTAGCTTCCAAAAGCGGCAAGTTGAAAACACAGACAACAAACAAAGTAACAACGATGGATCGCGCCTCCTCGTCTATGGATTGGGAGGAGTAGGGCGGTGGGCGGCTAACACTGCAAGGAACGCCCAACTCCCAAACACTGACGCATCAACGGCCCTAAATGCTCATAACCTCATGAACCCTAACACCCTGAATGCCATCATCCCCCTCCCAAAGAAACAACCAGCAAAACTCCAAACTCAAGTGAGCTAGACCCTAACCCCGGAGCTCTGGTAATCGCAAACCCTAAACGGAAAGCCCCTCAGTGCAGTCCTTCGTGCCGTCGCTCTTGGGCCTACTCTCGGCAATCTCCTCTTCCGACCTTGAAATGTCTTTGTTTTCTTCAATATATAAGGTTTGTATTTACGAGTTTTCTACATGTGTACATATTTTGCTACATATGTACGTATGTAGGAGTCGTCAAAGGCTTCTTCAAACGTTCCATTAAGGGCTTCATTCAAGAGGATGGCCTGTCTCTAGCCGTGAGTTTAGGACTTTGATGGTCGAGTTAGACAGCCTCGTGCTTAAAGGGTGGAGGGTTCTTTTTTTTTGATACGCGTTGACCTAAGAGCTCCTAAGTCTGCCTCTACAGGCACGCGTAGGGTGAGACGAGTTTGTGCTTGTAGTCCTCCTCTTTGTTCTTGTAGTTGAACTTCACGCCATCAGAGTTCATGAGCTAAACCAGACATCTTCATAATACTTGTAGTAAGGGATGAGGGATGATTTAGGGTTTCGGGATCAGGATTACGCGTAGGGTGCCTTCGTCTATTACCTGAAGGACCAAATGACCCTTAAAAGTAGGGGCCCTATATGCATATACCATGAATCCCTATATTGGTATATGAACCTCAATCCCTTTTAAGGTTCATTTCGTCCTTAAGCGACTCATTTTTGCATAGCGAGACCGCAAGAGCTACCAGGCCTTTGGGTGTGACAATTGGGAACGACTCGGGTTCCCCCTGTTACTCTCGCCTCCCCACCTCCCGACCTCCCGTGGTCTGTGCTGGATTGAAACGCTATTTTAGCAACCGCGCACTTGAGCCAAAAGGTAACGTCAGTGTGAAACAACTGTACATGAGACCCATACCCAAACTATACCCCAAATCCAGTCACGCCTCCCGAGTAGGGATCACGCTTTGCTTTCCCTGCGAGTTCTTTGGGGTATTCCTTCACGCCTTTCCTAAGGCCAGCTCATGCTTTCCAGACCTGACGGTGTAGCCCATTCGACTCAATAGCTTCGTAGCAGTTTGGCCGTCCAAAGGCTTCGTCATGAGGTCCGCCAGCATGTCTTGCGTGTTGACCTTCTTCAGGCGTATTCTTCCTTGATCCACTATTTCTTGCACCCACAGATAGCAGGTGTCAATGTGCTTGACCTTACCCAGCCCTCGTCGCGAGCCGATGGATATGCCCGCGCTGGCATCCATAGCTATGTTGACAGACAGCTTTACACCCCAGTCCGCCATCATCGCTTGCTCGCCCAAAGCGGTTGAGGCTGTTGATATCAAGCCATAGTATTCTGCCTCTCCAGTGGACAGGGCAATCACAGCTTGTCCCTTGGCTGCTGTCTTCACCGTTGCTTCTCCGAGCTGGATCACGGTTCCAGTCGTGCTTTTCCTAGTCTTGATACACCCAGCATGGTCACTGTCGGACCAAGCATTGATGCTTGTGAAATGCTCTTGATACGGAATCAATTGCACCAGCCTAGGAGATCCTCGGAGATATCTTGCAGCTCTCTTCAAGAGACCCCAATGGTGTTGTTGAGGTTCTTTCAGCCGTTTCGCCAACTCGCGGACGGTCCTAAGCAAGTCCGGCCTGTCCATAGACAGATAACCTATCCGCATAGCGATAGAACGGTACAGAGCTGCTTCAGCAGTACCAAGTGGAGTCTTGTCCATGTCCTCTTCTTTCACCTTGACCAGTGGAGTGGTCACAGAAACTCCTTTCTCCAGACCCAGCTGTTCCAGAACTAAGTCCACATGTCTTGGGTCGGCTTCCATCTCGATGCCTTCTTGGGTCCACGTCACTAGGCGATTCAAGACAGAGATCTGATGAATCACGCCTGGCAGCTCCGAACCGGGTCTAGCCAGGATGCCCCTTGTCTCAACTGTCCAAACCTTGCCCAGTTCAGCTTCTAGCCACTTGAGCTCTTTGTAGCTTCCAACCACTGTAAAATCATCTCCATGGACGTTGAGTCGCAAAGATTTCTCCTCGTGGAAGTACAGGCATGGGTTGCTTCGTCCTTGCTTGAAGCCCAAGCCCTCCAGAGCATCCTTGATGGCTTTCTCCCAATTGGAAGGTGCATCCCTGGTCCCATACAAGGAACGCTTCAGAAGTCCAACCTTGTCTCGTCCCTCTCCAGCTTCTGGTGGAAGCTCCACAAGGAGTCTCCGGCGTACAGGGCTCCAAAAGTGAGCTTTCTGTGGACTGGTCCTCTGGTTGTTGCGGTCCGCGGGCTCTTTTGAGTTCCTGAGCGACAAGCCTGGATCTCAGTTTGTGACGGGCACCATCCCCCTTGTTGATGTCCACCCATCGCGTACCGATCACCTTCTCGTTTGCAGGGCGGGGTATGACTTCCCACACTCCCATCTGCCTGATGACGCTCACTTCCTCTGCCCGGGCTGCTTTAACACCTTCAGCTGGAAGCTCTTTCCCGGTGAGGTCGTCGTAGAAGGTCTCCGCAAGAACCTCTTCCACTAAACCATCAACCAGGTCGCAGGTAGGCTGTTCGACTCCTTCCAGGGATTCAATCCACGCCTTTCGCTCTCCAGCAATAAGCGTCTCAATCATTCCCTCGACGTTTTCAGCCTTGCGCTTAGAGCCTTCTGCTCGGTCCTCTGCAGGCCTCAGCTCGGACCTCTCTTGGTCTCCAGGGTCCTCGCTCTTCCGTTTGCTCGCCGAAGCAGCTTCCGAAGCGGTAACTGCTGGCTTCTTACCCTCTCGCGAAACGGAGACAGGCTCTGCTTTAGAGGGTTTCCTTTTCTCCACTTTCTTTGCTGCTTGCTCTGGTGGCCTGCTAGGTTGGCTGGGCTCGCTCGCCTCTGCACTTCCTGCCTCAGGCCTTTTCTCCTTCTCTGTTGCAGCCTTTCTCTTCTTTTCTTCTGCCTCGTGGACTTTCGTGAAGTACTCGGTCTCGCGCTGAGTTTCTCGCTCTAGGCGGGCTTGGCCCCGAGAGGTGTCCTTCAGCGCCTCTTGGATCCGCTTCCTACACGTCTCGTTGTGGTTGATACCTTGGCGTTCTCTGCCTTCGCGAATGGCGGCACAGGCCTCACAACCCCCAGTATAGCCAAACTGCTCCAGGTCGCTTTGTCGGATGTACATTCTCCGATACGTAGGCAACCGTTCGGCGTCTCCAGGTTTCGGTGGAAGCTCTGCTTGCTCGACCACGGGCTCTATCACGATAGGCTCCGGGAGTCTGTCTGCATCGGCGTTCGTGCTCTTCTCGGGATTAGGCTGCCAGGGAGTTCCTTTCACAGCCTTCAGCATCTCGAGATTGAACTGCTTGTCTGCAGGCTTCCTTCGGATAGACTGCACCACCAGGATACCCGAGGGCGTCCCGACAATCTTCTCCGAACTCGTAAGCCGCAGTCCTAGGTAGACTCCTTCTTGCCATCTGGCATCAAGCTTGCTTTTCGCCCTTCGGCGATAGTCCACGATTTCTCCAAAGCTTGGAAGAGCTACTTGCCAGGTTCGGCCCTTCAGCTTCTGAAACGGAGTCATGCCCTCGCTGTCCTCTTGAGAGAACAAGGTGTGGAGCACCCCTGCGTACTCGATCATCCAAGGGAAGATAACCGAGTCCTTGGGTAGTTCTCCTCCAGCATTTTGCTCCAGGGCATACTTCATCGTGCGCACTTGTCCCTGCACACGTTGCACTGCATTCTCAGCTGTGCCGTTGCTTTGCCCGTGAGAGTCTCCCTTGGGCGACTCTTCCAGAGTCAAGTCCTCTGGAAAACCAGCCTTCACAGCTGCCCCCAATGCCTTGATCGCGTTCTCTTGGTCCGTCTTCAGAACCAAGCGCTTGTACCCCAGCCAGTTCAAATCTCGAAGCACCGCCTTTTCAGGATAGGTCGAACCTACCGTCCCTTTAGTTGGCAGCAGATGCGAGAAGATGGCCTTTGAGGCACGGTCCCTCAAGACAACTGTTGGCAGGCTCTTTCCCGGTACTCCCTTCTCAGAGAAGTACGGGTAGTCAGCTGATACCACAGGCACTGTGGAGTCTCGGCCCTCGTGGTGGTGCGAGTAGGCTCGCCCCCGTCCAGCTACACATGCTGGGCACCACGATCGGTAAGGGATATGTGTCACCTCGTGCTCAGCAACCATTTGAGGCGTGGGCACAGGCGGCGCTCGAAGTGGCTTCGCACGCTGTGCTTCTTCGCCTCCTGGCTGGGCGGATCCCGAAGCGGGCTCCGCCTGGCGTGGCTCACCATCCCCAAACGGTCGGGCCTCGTCTTCTTCACCGTCAGAGTGGATCGGGAACACCTCCGGCTCCGGAAAGAGGTCGTAGTACTCAGTTGCGGCGCCTGCCGCCCTTCTTTCTTCTCCTCCTTCCTTCTTTTCCTTCCTCTCCTTTCCTTTAACCAAACCACCTAAACCAACCGGGGTTAGGGTCTCAGACACTCCTACCCTACAGGCACTTTCGGCCTTTTTCCTTCCTACCGCGCCAAAATGGCTCTGTTCTGGGTGAAACGAAACGGCTCTACAGCTACGGCTCCCACCTTCAAGGTCCTTTCCCAACAAGTTTTGCAGCGAAGCGCATCCCTCAGGGATGCTTAGCCCTTCCAGGGCCCTTAAAAAGCTCTTTGTTGGCTTGAAGCCTTTGGTAGCCGGGCTTACGCTGTAGGCAGCAGCCGTGGAGGGTGCGAGTGCACCGGAAGCACACGGAACGACGCGCGAGGGCTCCCGCGCACCGGGAAGACCAAAGAACTCCCATTCGGGAGGTACAGCGTGGCCTCCTTACCTGCAAAGACCAAGGCGTTGCCACGGTCCATCGCACGACCAGTGGAGAGGAGGCAGCGCTGCACAGCTGCCACGTTGAAGATGCATCTGCACCTGGTGGCCCTCCCATCCGAAGACGAGCCACTCAGAAGCAACTCCGTTGTGCCCAGGTTGGGCAGACTCTCCCCGCTTGCCGTGGAAAACTTAAGTGGCGAACTCACCTCCTTCAAGGCTGTGGCCCTCCCTTCCTCGAAGAGCTTCTGGTACACTTTGTCTGGCAGCACGTTGTGGCTTGCACCGCTGTCCAGGATCACCTCCATTGAGGGATGCTTCTGGTTCCGGGAAGGTGCCGAGGCGGCCCCATTCCCAGATAAGGAAAACACGGTTCCA